GAACCGAACCCAGGTCTCTCTGTACCGCAGGCCAACGTTCCAACCGCTGAGCCAAACCGGCTAGGGCCCCAATTTCATTTTCTCATTGACAAGAACAAGTAAGGTATAACTTACCCAAAGCTGAAGGGAAATCTCTTGACTCTTGATACACAATCCAGTCATCTTTCTACTACAGCTACCACCTTGATCACAGGTTGTTACTTTTAGAAGGGCTCCAGGGCCACATATAAAACCCCAGAGGTAATTATTTGAACAAAATCTCCTTTCTCTTAATTTAGATTATGCTTAGTCACATGTGCTATTTTTCTTTCTCTGGATGGAGGTACAGCAGACTTACATTATTCTTGTTTGGAATTCTTAATTTTGTAAAAATTTTATACTATTCTTCAGAATTGTTATGGGTTTAAGTAATCCTTATTTGTTGACTTTTCTTTATATCTTTGATCATACCAATGAAAGGCGCAGGAGAGAATAATGGAGAGCTGATCATAGTGGGGTGCTAGCCTTAATAATAAGAAATGTTGAGCTCTGGCCGATTTACTCATTTGTTAGAGTGTCGACCCAAGGACCAATAATTTGAGGGTTCAATTCCCATCAAGGGCACATACCTCAGTTGCAGTTGTCCCTGGCCCTGGTCAGGGTCCTGCAGAAGGCAATCAGTCAATCTTTCTCTCTCTCTCCCTCTCTCTCCTACTCTCCCACTCTATCTGAAAATAAATAGAAAAATATCCTCCGGTGAGGATTTAAAAAAAAAACAGAAATGTTGAACATCTTTACTCTATTAATCATGATTACTTTGTTCTGATTAAAGAAAGCCCATTCTGACCTGGCTGGGAGCTGTATGCCCTGGGAGTTCACCTCAGGAATGCTGCCCATTCCCCATGCTGGAGAGCTGAACCATCCCGCCACCACCCTCCCCCACCATCATGGAAACACTAACAACCTTCCAGGCTTGGAGTCCAGCACTAGAGAAAGCCCACATTCCCCAGTTCCCAATACTTCCCCATTCCTGTAATCTGTAACTGCTTTACCCATTGATATTCCCTTTGCCTACTTCCCCAACCATTTTACCCATTGATATTCCCTTTGCCTACTTCCCCATGACCTCCTATGGAGGGAGTGCAGAGCAGATTTTTGCAGAATGACCTGGCTGCTTTCCCACACTGCCAGCAATATTGGAATGAAAGCTCATATAAGATTCAAACTTGTCTCTGCTTAATAGGCTCAAGTAGTGACAGGCAGCCTGGACCCATTTATTGTCTGGTTTCACCATCACCACTGGTTAGTCAGTCCATAACTGATCCTTACCTTCTTTACTGGTTTCTGTTCTCTTATTTAACCCCTAAATAATGGACTTTATGGTCTTTTTAATAGAGATAAGCAGCACTCCTTTGTGGTTTTGCCAACAACAATGTTCTCCTTCAATTCATCCACCCTTCAAAACCGGGTCCTGTCCTAAATTATCTGTGAACCACCCCTGATGCTGCAGTTAGTATATTTTCCTTCCTTAGAAAAATGTTCGCAATTGAGGAGAGGACGGAATACTGGGTTTTCTGCTTACCTTAAAAATCTAGGTGTAAAGTAAAATTATATCTTTCCTCCCAAACCAGCTTCTTCTGTATTCCAGGCATATATTAACAGCAGCAACATACTGCCAATACCCAGTCTCAAAACTGTGGGGCCATTTGTAGCAGATGCTAATAGATGAAAGAGGATTAAGGCAGAAAAGAACAGTTCAGCCAGCAGGCCCCTGTACACACATCCTGAGGCATAAAAAGTTCTGTGCTTCCAATGATCTGAAAGGCAAGTGGGATTGATGTACAGCTTGTAAAGGGACAGTTAGACTGGAAAAGGACTAAGGCTGAGAGGCATTTGTGAGACATTTAAGTGAAAATATCTAGAAGGTAGCTGAAATGGGGACCCAAGCACACCAGAGCAACAGCACCTAAAAGTAGCTATTATCTCTGTATACCTCACAAATCCCCACTCTACGCCTCCCCCTTTTCTGGTAACTGATCTTACCTCTCGCCTGTCCCCATCAAGCACAGAGATAAGCACGTAACCAGCTGATCCAATTCTAGTACTACATTCTTGGCTACTGCAACTATTCCAATAACCAGAAGGTGGTCCAGATTGAGCATTCTGAATTTCCCAAAGAATACTTTTTCTCCTAGATCACATAGTGTGATTATAAATGTATGAACAGAGAGTTTGAGCAATCACTGCTCCAACCTCGTTAGAAGCCAAAGAAGAGAAGAATCATTCAGGGGGAAAAAGAAGCGACAACTAGTGGAAGACTAGAAGTATTTGTTAGTTCTTAACTTCCATATTACTGCCCTAAACCTCTCATTCCAAGAAACCAAAATCCATCACTCCAGGCAGGAGGAACGAAATGATGGAACCACCCTAACCCACCCAAAACTGCAAACGGTCCCTGGACAAGAAAAACAAGTTTCACTCAGGCCCAACCAATCAAAGACGACCATATCTCCTCCGCTGAATGACCACCCCCCAGGGCCTGAGTTTTAAAATCGCTAGTCTGTACAAGCTGGTTGCTACTCTCTTCTTAGAGGTAGTCCTGCAGGCTGATTCCCAATAAACCTGCACTTCTGGAAACCCTGCACCACCTCGTTCCGCCTCGTTCCACCTTATTCTTACAATATTAAGCCACTTTCCTTACCAGTGCAGACAAAAAAAAGGGGTTCCATGAAATGTAATTTCAGGGAGTGATCTAATCATATGCTCATAAATGGGCAGATCAGAGTCCCACCCCAGTCATACAATTTCTTTACTAAAAGGCTTATCTTTGGTTTAAGCAAGCCCTGTCCATTGTTTCTGTGCATCCAGGTTTGAAATGCTCAAACTATAAGCGCATCTTTAGGGAATCTGATAGAAAGATGTAAGGATGTTAAACAGCTTTGGCTACTTCTTTTTCAGTACGGTACCTTAAGAAAAACAAGCTTAGCCCTGGCCAGTTTGGCTCAGCGGTTAGAGCGTCGGCCTGCGGTCCGGAGAGACCCGGGTTCGGTTCCCGCTAAGGGCATGTACCTCGGTTGCAGTTTGTCCCCGGCCCTGGTTGGTCGTGCGGGTGGCAGCCACTCGATGTGTCCCTTCACGTCGATGTTTCTCTCTCTCTCTCCCTTCCTCTCTCTCCCTCCCACTCTATATTTACAAAAAATGGAAAAATATCCTCGGGTGAGGATAAAAAAAAAAAAAAAAAAAAAAAAGAAAAACAAGCTTAGGCATAAATCAGACTGTCTGAAAAGAGAAACAGAACAGTGATCATGATAGAAAGGGCCCTTGTCCTATTCTCTAAGGAACTGCAAAAGTAGTCATCTCTACCTAACAACAGCCAAAATTAGAATATTGATCAGGAACGGAGATACCTAGGAGGATCCAGGACTGGACCCCACCCCCAACCATGATAAAACATATCAAACAAGATGCAGCCTAGAGGCAAGGGGCCAACTGGCAGTACTTTATAATTTCGAGCAGAGCTTCTAGGACTGTTGGAAGACACAAGACAATCACCAGAGCAGAGTTTAATTCAAACACTGTATTATAGTTATTAATAAAGAAGGAAAGGGTAGGATATGCTAGTAAACAAGGAAATCTGAATCAGAAAATTAAAAATACAATAAGCTCTCAAAATAAAATACAGAAAAAAGTTTATATATAATCACCCCTAAAAATGATTTTAATCCCCATAAAGAGGACCCAACAGTTTGTCGTTATTTGAACAAATCGTCTGATAGAGAACCCAAAATTCAAAAGAAATCAATTTGCAGAGACAAGACTTAGTCTCTCTCATCCTGGATAGTAGCTTTGAAAGGAAAATATGGCATAACATTCTAGAGGAGACAATTATCAATCAAGGTCCAACTAGGAGATTAAAAAAACCCAGTGTATTTATCACTGGGAATTTAATGCAGACAACTGGTTAGCTGAGAAGTCAAAAAAGGAACTGTGAGGCAACCTAACTGAATTAGCAACAGCAAGAAGTCATTGCTACCCCTAGGCTAGGGAGACACAGAGTGCAGGGTACTGAGGTGACCCGGCAGAAACTTGACTGCTAGTGGAATTGCCCAAGGGAACCCAGAACCACAGAGGAAATGCAACCGCTGACAGAGGAGAGGGAATAACACTCTCCCCTCTCTCCCACCCTCCCAATTCAATTGCTCACCAGTGCCTCCCAAACTCAACCAGATGTCAGACAAGACAAGGTGGCCTAGGAAACAGACAAGGGGCAGCCGCCTCTCACTTGGACTTTGAGTTTTGTTTTTGTTTTTTGTTTTTTATCCTCACCCGAGGACATTTTTCCATTTTTTGTTCAGGTAGAGTGAGGAAGAGAGAGAGAGAGAGAGAGAAACATCAACATGAAAGGGACACATCAAGTGGCTGCCACCCGCACGACTGACCAGAGCCGGGGACAAACTGCAACCGAGGTACGCGCCCTTAGCGGGAACCGAACCCGGGTCTCTCAGGACCGCAAGCCGACGCTCTAACCGCTGGGCCAAACCGGCCAGGGCTGGACTTTGAGTTTAAGGCTAGGCATTATGTTATAATTACTTTCAGACTTGTAGAATACAATATTAGTTGTAATGAAGTTTCTGTAGTGTAGTCATTCTACTTTTTAAATTAAAAATAAATTTATTTTGCCTGGCTGGTGTGACTCAACTGTTGAGCATCAGCCCATGCACCAAGAAGTCACTGGATCAATTCCCAGTCAGGGCACATGTCCAAGTTGTGGGCCCAATCCCCAGTGGGGGACATGCAGGTGGCAGCCAATTGATGTTCTCTCATTGATGTTTCTATCTCTTTCTCCTTCTCTCTTCCTCTCTCTCTTAAATCAATAAAGAAAAAGAAATTTTTAATAAATTCATTTTGAAAACTAAAAAGTTTCTGAACAAGAAAGTAATCTGACTCAAGAAAGGGTTCTTTTTGGAATCCGGTCAACCTCAAACATTTAATTCATATGCCCCAAAAAATTAAATCCATACCATTTAAATCTGCATTTTCAAATCTGACCCAGACTATTTTCTCCTTTTCTTCTGTTAGAGGTGTTCCACTGTAAGCCTGCATAAAAACAGAAACATTTGAATAAAAATATTTTACAGATCTAATATTACTGATGTTTAAAACAAAGAGGAACTTAAATAAAGGCAACCCTATCCCTCTACAATTTCACCAATCTACCTCTTGGAAACTAGCACATTTCGTAATATTTTACTCCCATAGAAAGTTATCCAGGAGTCTAATAACCTTGATCCAACAAAAAAAAAAAGGGGTTTTTTAATCTACTAAAGAACTGCAGAAGCCCTGGCTGAGTGGCTCAGTTGGTTGGAGTGTTGTCCTAACACCAAAAAGTTGTAGGCTCAATTCCCAGTCAGGGCACATACCTATGTCCAGGTTCAACTCCCCAGTCGGAGAACGTATGAGAGGCAACTGATCCATGTTTCTCTCCCACATTGATCCCTCTCCCTCTCTCTTTCTCTAAAAATCAATAAAAAACATATCCTTTGAAGAAATTCTTATTTAATAAGAAATTTTTAAAAAATAATTGCAGAATCTAAAATATAGTCTTTTAGGAAATATCACTATAATTCAAAGGCACTCAAAAAAGCTAAGTCATCCCCTATATTGGTCAACAAATAGGAAGGCTAAGAAATCAACAAAACTACCACAAGTATGTATTTAGTTCCCATGTATTTATTATCAGGCAATTACACTCTACCCATAATTTTCAAGAGTATTACTTTCTTATAGCATAGGGAATATAGTCAATAATATTGTAATAACTATGTATGGTGCCAGGTGGATACTAGAATTATCAGGAGTATTATATAATTGTCTAACCACTAGACTGTACACCTGAAACTAATATAAAATAATATTAAATATCAACTGTAACTGAAAAATAAATTTTTAAAAGATAGCCCGACCCGTGTGGCTCAGTGGTTGAGCTTCGACCTATGCACCAAGAGACCGCCAGTTCGATTCCCGGTCAGGGCACATGCCCAGGTTGTGGGCTTGATCCCCAGTGGGGGCATACAGGAGGCGGCCAGTCGATTTTCTCTCTCATCGATGTCTCTATCTGTCTCTCCCTCTCCCTTCGTCTCTCTCTAAAATTAATAAAGAAAAAAAAATTGTATTTTAAAAAATAAAATATATACTTTCTGAAATTATAAATAGAATGATAGGCTAGTATATGCATATTACATCACTTTCCTAAATTATAAAACAATTTAAAAAAAAAAAAAGAGTCCTATTTCCTGCCTGCCTCCAGTTGGCGGGCATGGATCAGTATTGGGGGTAGGGAAAAAAGTATTACATTTTCAGTCTCTGATCTGGCCTTTAGCCGCAACCTATTAACTAGTTCCTACAAGCTTGCAAGGATCACAAAGATAAAACATAACTGCCCTGAAGTCATAGGAAAAGTGTCAGTATTCAAAGGGAATCATCTCTCCATAAAGCAAGTGTTTTTATTTAAAAAATGTTTAAGATTATATGTACTTAACAAGTATTTAGAACGTCAACAAAAGAGCTGCAACATTTTCAATTATAAAGTGGTTCTCGGTTCAGAGAATTACTATTTAATATGGTATATCAAAAGCATACAAAAACTACCATCCCATATATAATTTGTGTTATACATGACCAGCTTTAAATTTCCATGCCAATTTAGAGCCTCTGTACTTACCATACAAAGTTAACTACCATTGAAAATACCATTAAGACACTTACTTTAATGGTAGACTAACTATACACAAAAAAAACTTATGATTTGAATTGTCTTTTTGTTGTTGTTAATCCTCACCTGAGGATATTTTTCCCTTGACTCTTAGATAGAGTGGAAGAGAGAGTGGGAGGGAGAGAAAAACATGTGAGAAGGGCACATGGATTGGTTACAGTTGGAACCTTCAACCCAGTCACATGCCCTTTACCCTTGATGGCGAATCAAACCCATGACCCTTTAGTCCACTGGCCTGCACTCCAACCACTGAGCCAAACTGACCAAGGCTCAATTGTCTTTCTTTTTTTTAAAATAAGTGAGATATGTATAGGGCAGTTAATTCCTTTGGAGAAGAGAAAAGCCCACACTATAACCAACTTTATCTTCAACCATCTCATCCTTATCACCAACTTTATCTTCTCATCCTTATCTTCTTCCTTTTTCCTTGGTCTAGCTCTTATCATCCTTGAAAACTCTCTTTTTAAAAAATAAATTTTATTTGAGAATAATTTTAGATTACTAAATACAGTACTGAAAGATCTCATACGCACCTCAACCAAATTACCCTAATATGAACTATCTAATCTAACCAACTCTTACCCACCTATGGTACATTTATCAAAACTATCAAACTAATTGATGTATTACTATAAATTAAGCCCCACATTTTATGGGATATCACCCATCTTTCCATTTATGTCCTTTCTCTGCTCCAGGATCCAATCTAAGACACCATATTACATTTGGCACAACTTCTTTTTTCCTATCTCGGGCTCTTCAATCTGGTAAAGCAATAACATTTTTTCAACATTTCCTTCAGTTTAGCACACTTATTATAAGGCTGCTTATCACCTGCAACATTATTCAACATTCTCCCCATTCCTGTTCAACATCTAAAGATGTTGTCCTGCCCTGGCCAGTTTGGCTCAGCGGTTAGAGCATCAACCTGCAGTCCAGAGAGACCAGGGTTCAGTTCCCACTAAGGGCACGTACCTTGGTTGCATTTTGTCTCTGGCCCTGGTTGGTCGTGCGGGTGGCAGCCACTCGATGTGTCCCTTTCACGTCGATGTTTCTCTCTCTCACTGTTCCTCTCTCTCCCTCCCACTCTACCTGAACAAAAGATGGAAAAATGTCCTCAGGTAAGGATAAAAAAAAAAAGATGTTGTCCTTTGCTTCCTGGGCCATATGCAGGACAAACAAGGATGAAAGCAGCCTTTCAGTATACTGGGATTCCTGAACTTCCTCTCTTTCCTCCCCAGAGAGAAATAAGATTTTCATAGCAAGTACACATCTATGTCTTCAAGTTTTCCTCTCCTTAGTTTTTTACTAAGCATTCCTGAGAAAATTCTGGGAAGCTAACTGGAATGTTGCTTCTTGGGTGCCTTCCTGCAGGTCGGCACTAAGAAGGTAAGTGACATCATGTCACTTTGCCTCTCAACTTGTGATATCCTTTGCCCATATTTAGATATTTTATTCCCAGTGAGGCAGACTTACCCAGTATCTACCCATCTTTCACCTGCTGTCTTAATGTACCACCAAAGTGATTATTAGCTGCCCTTCTTCAACTAAGATCCAACTGCCTCAGCCCTGTTAAAATGTAGAGTCCATTATTGACAGGATTTGTTAATTTCTTTTTATTCCTTATCTGGTTTCTAACTCATCTACACATTCATAAACACAAAGTTTTTGTTGAATTTTAAAAGACACAGCTACAGCCCTGGCCGGTTTGGCTCAGCGGTTAGAGCGTCGGCCTGCGGTCCCGAGAGACCCGGGTTCGGTTCCCGCTAAGGGCACGTACCTCGGTTGCAGTTTGTCCCCGGCCCTGGTTGGTCGTGCGGGTGGCAGCCACTCGATGTGTCCCTTTCACATCGATGTTTCTCTCTCTCTTCCTCTCTCTCCCTCCCACTCTACCTGAACAAAAAATAGAAAAATGTCCTCAGGTGAGGATAAAAAATAATAATAAAATAAAAGACACAGCTACAGTCCAGCCAGTGTGGCTCAGTGGTTGAGCGTCAACCCGTGCACCAAGAGGTCGCCAGTTCGATTCCCGGTCAGAGCACATGCCCAGGCTGTGGGCCCAATCCCCAGTGGAGGGCATGCAGGAGGTAGCCAATCGATGTTCTCTCTCATCGATGTTTCTCTCTCTTCCTCTCCCTCTCCCTTCCTCTCTTTAAAAATCAATAAAAGAAAAAAATAAATAGAAAACACAGGTACAATCACTGTAGATATGTTGTGGTGTTCTATTTGTTCATTGCAGAGAAAATAACTTCCATTGTGTGCTTCTGTCAAAAGCATAATTTTTAGTAACAGAAAATTATTCTATAAGAATGACATATCATTTGCTTGACTGCTTTTGACATTTGGGCTGACTACAATTTTTTATACTGAAAATGTGAAATTTCAAAAACACTGCAATGAAAAGATCTTTGTTAAATTAGTTTCTTTGTTCAATTATTTTTTAATAACTTTTCATAAGTACAGTCATTAGATCAAAGGGTACAGCTAAGAGCTTCTACCAGCCATCAATGACATTTCTTGAACACAATGGGAATTCACTTTATTTGTGATAGCTGAAGAAGCTAATACCAGTCTAACACATTTTCTCCTTTTGCGGGTTATCTAGAGACCCTGAGAATAATTTCCCAGCTCCCAGAATGATTCCCAGAATAGAGCAGGAGTTGGAACATAATATCAACAGCAAAAAATATCATTTTCCAAATGGCTGACTGCAAAGTACCAACGGGGCATTCCAGATTAAATGTGAAAAAAAGATTATGCTGTACACCTGAGACCCATACAACATAATATGGAATGTAAATTATAGTTGAAAAATAAAACATTATTTTTTTTAAATGAGACCATGAGTCACCAGATCTGGCCTACCACCTGTGTTCATAGTTTTTTGGGGGGTTTTTTTGGTGGTATGTGCCCCTAGCGGGAACCAAACCCGGGACACTCTGACCCACAGGCTGACACTCAACCGCTGAGCCAAACTGGCCAGGGCCATAGTTTTATTTTAATACAGCCCTGCCCCTTGCTTTACATAAAAAGCAGTGCTGAGTAGTAGCTACAGAGATTATGTGAACTGCAAAAGCCTATCCGGCCCTTTACAGAAACAGTTTGCCAAATGCTGAAGCCTTAAGGATAGGTACAGTATGCCCTCAACTTGACATTGCCAGCACAAAACTAAGGCACATCTAATAACAAATATAGTTCCACCCTACCAATGTGAAGTTGATGATACTAGTATCAACTTTAGGAAACAGAACATTTCACACGCTCCCTGGTCAATGGGAAAACCTACTGTTTCTGAAACCACACAGACACTTACCTGTGGCACAACATCCTGTAGAAAAGTCACAACACTTTCCATGTAGGACTGCTCCCTGAAAAGGGGTGAATTGGTTACAATTTATCATGACAGCTTAAGACAAACATGGAAAAGCTCTTTCTATAAGCCCTAAGAAAGTCACTCGTAATATTTTTTAAAAGGGTGGGAAAAAAACAACTCACATCACCTGATAATACTGTTAACCTTTCTCGTTTCATTGCATGTTATTAAATGCAAATGAGCTCTTAACATTTTTAAACATTTTCTCTCCTGAAACGTCATGCTCTCTTACTTTGATATAGATAACTTCTAACTCATACTTGAAGGAGTGATGACAGCAGACTTGGCTAAGACAGGACTCTCCCTCCTCTTGAGTCAGGGCTGAATGCCCTAATTAGAGCCCGAAAAACTGTTGGTGATGACTCAGTTTAGGGACCTTCTCTTTAAATTGGTTATGAACCTAGTCCCTTATCTGTGTATAGAAAAATGAATTTATATTTTTCTACAGGTAATTTTTGTCACGGACAAGACATGGGAAAGTATTAAAATAAACAAGGACACTAAGATATTTTAAATGGCCCTGGCCGGTTTGGCTCAGCGGTTAGAGCGTCGGCCTGCGGTCCGGAGGACCCAGGTTCGGTTCCCGCTAGGGGCACATACCTCGGTTGCAGTTTGTCCCCGGCCCTGGTTGGTCGTGCGGGTGGCAGCCACTCGATGTGTCCCTTTCACATCGATGTTTCCCTCTCTCTCTCTTCCTCTCTCTCCCTCCCACTCTATCTGTACAAAAAATGGAAAAATGTCCTCGGGTGAGGATAAAAAAAAAAAAAAAAAAGGTATTTTAAATGGTAAGTATATAGATATCAGCAAATAGAGAGAAAAAAAATTCTTCAAAATACCAAATCAAATTCATTCCAGAGAGATGTGAAAAACTATGTTTAAGAAAAGAATGAGTCATTCTAAATCCTATTTTTAAAACAGACGGTACAGCCCTGGCCAGTTTGCTCAGTGGTTACAGCGTCAGCCTGTAGCCCAGAGAGACCCAGGTCAGTTCCCGCTAAGGGCACGTACCTTGGTTGCAGTTTGTCCCTGGCCCTGGTTGGGTCACGCGGGTGGCAACGACTCGATGTGTCCCTTTCACATCGATGTTTCTTTCTCTCTCCCTCCCCACTCTATCTGAATAAAAAACGAAAAAATGTCCTCGGGTGAGGATTAAAAAAAAAAAAAAAAAAGAACAATTTACTTAATTTCTCTCTGTTCTGGCTTCCTCACCTATAAAATGAAGAGTGAAATAGCACCTAACTCATAACTAATAACATGCTTAACTTATTAGCATAATCCATAGTTAGCAAAGACATATAGCCTTGGGAAATACAGGAGAAGAAAAAAAGTTTTGTGGTAAAATAACAGACCTCACATATACTTCTATTATTCTGAGAAGGCGACCTCTATGTTGTGCTAAACTTCCCAAGAAAAATAATCCAAAATGCTACAATTCCCTTATGAACATTTTAAAAAGCAGTTTTGTGCAGCGGTTAGAGCATTAGCCCGTGGACCAAAGGGTCTCAGGTTCGATGACCAGTCAAGGACACATAACTTAGTTGCAGGGTCAATCCCTAGCCCTGTCAGGATCATGCAGGAGGCAACCAACCACTGTGTCTCTCTCACATTGAACTTTCTCTCATTCCCTCTCTCTCCTTTCCTCCTTTCTACTCTATCTTAAAAAAAAACACAAAAAAACAATGGAAGCCCTGGCCGGTTTGGCTCAGGGGTTAGAGCGTCGGCCTGCGGTCCGGAGAGACCCGGGTTCGGTTCCTGCTAGGGGCACATACTTCGGTTGCAGTTTGTCCCCGGCCCTGGTTGGTCGTGCGGGTGGCAGCCACTCGATGTGTCCCTTTCACATCGATGTTTCTCTCTCTCTCTCCCTTCCTCTCTCTCCCTCCCACTCTGTCTGTACAAAAAATGGAAAAATGTCCTCGGATGAGGATTAAAAAAAAAAAAAAAAGGAAAATATTCTCGGGTGAGGATGAACAAAAACATAAATAAAATAAAAAGCAGAAAACAAGTTTCACCTCCTTAGCTAGGTCTTGTAGGGTCTTAAATGTTCACCTCAAACTACTTCATATAATAAGTCAACTTTCCTATGTTTCATTCAGGAAAATAGCTTGCCTTTCCCATATCTGCTCACTCTATTTCCTTTACCTAAAATGTACCCTTGATTCTAACTGCCCAAACACTATTCTGCCTTTGAAGTACACTATAAATGTTAACTTCCTTTTTTATTTTTTAATGTTTTTTATTGATTTTATAGAGAGGAAGGAAGTGGGAGACAGAAACATCAACATCAATCTGCTTTGTCTCTGCTGTCTCCTGCACACTCATTGCTGGGGATCTAGACCGAAACCGGGGCATGTATTCTGATCAGGAATCAAACTGGTGAATTCTTGGTACATGGTTCGACTCTCAATCACAGGACCACACAAGCCAGGCTAAATGTTAGTTTCTTAATGAAATCTTTTCGGATCTAAAATACTAAAATACTCCCACTATATTATCATGCTGTTTTGCTAGCATCTTTTTTATTGATTATAGTGATTTCAAGCATACATATCTTAAAACCACATTAGATCATATGCTCCTAGATAGTATGCATATGGCTCTGGCAGGGTGGCTAAGCTGGTTGGAGCACTGTCCCATACACTAAAAGATGGTAGGTTCAATTTCCAGTAAAAGCACATACCTAGATTCTCAGTGGAAGTGTGTACTGAAGGCAAAAGATCAATGTTTCTCTCTCACATCAATGTTTTTATCTCTCTCTCTCTCTTCCTCTCTCTAAAAATCAATAAACATATCCTCAGGTAAGGATTTTAAAAAAACAGAAAGTATACATACGCTTTGTGAAAGAAGGCTTAAAATACAGAAAAGTACTCTTTATGACACTGATTTTGAAAATTTGACTAAGATCTTAGTGTAAGAAATACATTTTACATTATGTTCTAGTAAACATACATATGAATATATCTATGTGTGTCACAAAACAATACTAACTCTTAAATATATTTTCTATTGCTATTTTCCTTTTTGAATAATGGTCCTGATTCAACAACTTGATTTAATAACCCACCAGTTGTTAAACCTGGAGTATGAAAAAACATCCTCTTTAGGATTTAGCATAGTGCTTTTCATGTGCTGAATACATCAACTTGACCCTCCAGTTATTGCTTTTATTTGGCCTTGGCAATATTTATCATCCTGTAAAGCCAAAATTAAATAGATTCTACAGAAGTAATCACTGTTCAGCAAGGAAACCTGAAAGTCACTATTCTGAGTAATCTTTTCATCAGGCTTATCTGAAATTTGCTTACGTGACAGCCTGAGGGCGAACCACAACTCCACCAGTACAACGACTGGGTCTTCTGGGGGAATCTGTAGCCATAGCTTCATTCACAAAACCTGTTTCCAGAACAAAAAATAAAAAAAATGGATCATTATTGTTGGGAGTAGGAGAAAGGTTTATGGTTGCTCACTAGAGATCCCTTGTCAAAAGTGCCTAAAATGCAGCAAATGTTCCCAGCAATTCCTATTATACCAGAAAAGAGGGAGGACAGATTAAAAATATATATTTTTTTAAATTACCAAGATTGGCCCTGGCCGGTTTGGCTCAGCGGTTAGAGCATCGGCCTGCGGTCCGGAGAGACCCGGGTTCGGTTCCCGCTAAGGGCACATACTTCGGTTGCAGTTTGTCCCCGGCCCTGGTTGGTCGTGCGGGTGGCAGCCACTCGATGTGGCCCTTCACGTCGATGTTTCTCTCACTCTCTCTCTCTTCCTCTCTCTCCCTCCCACTCTATCTGTACAAAAAATGGAAAAATATCCTCGGGTGAGGATAAAAAAAATTAAAAAAAAAATAAATTACCAAGATTGTTTTTTATTTGAACCAAACCTCAGAACCACAAAACTAGTTAAGACTCTTACTGGACCCATTGATCTACTGTTAACATAAATTAAAAAGGTAAGAGAACCAGATCATGAATGGGAAGTCTAGCACAGGACCACTTTATAAAAACAAATGTGCTACCTTTGTAAGCCAAAAATGTAAAATTTTACTGAAACCTTGTTGAGATAGTGAAAATACACATAGTACAATATTTCAAGACCAAATGAAACAATAGAGTAATATCATCCATCTAAGACTGTTGGTAATCTGTAAGAAGACATATTGTATAGTAATAGATCTTAACTGGACTTAACTTAAGTGATCATTTCACAATATATACAAATATCAAATCATTATGTTGTACACTTGAAGTTAATATTATATGTCAACTATATCTATTTTTTATTTTAAAAATAATGCAGTCATAATTTAGCAAGATTTTTTAAGTCAATTTTGTTAACCCCCTGCTACTGGAACCTAATCACCAGAGTCTAAATAAGTAATAAAAACTTATGACATTAGAAGCCCCTTATCCTTTTCTGTCACATCACTGAATCCTGATCCTTGAATGTCTAATAAGCATCTGAATCACTGGAGAGGTTTTAAGAGCATGGAGTGTATTTGGATGAAGTTTAAAGGAGGACTGACGACAATATTAAATATCTCTTACAGGGCTCAGGAGAGCCCACAGCCTGGAACTGATCTTGAAAGCATCTAAAACCCTCATTTCTAAGTAGGCAGTATTCTACCACCTTACTTAACAACTTTGAAACTGATGAGTCCCATCTGCTACAACCAAAATAACCTTTTACCCAACTAGCCCAGGTACCCCTTCCTCAATGGGTATCTTCCACCTCCAGCCCCTCAGCCCTCTCATTTCCATGCCACCCTTTATTTCCAAAACACTGCCTCCCAAGAGCTGTCCTATGAGGGCCGTGTCTCCTGAGACCACCCTGGCCAGTCCCTCAGGCCCCGCTCTCCTGAAAGACACTAGCACAGCGCTACCCACTTAACCTCCAGCGCGGAGCCACCGCTGCCACCGCTGCCCCCGGCCGCCCTCTGGCCCCTTGCCCTTCCTCCCTCCCCTCCCCCTCCAATCTCCAGAGCTCTTCCTCGCCGAATTCCTGCCAATCAAGCCCTCTCCCCTCACGCTGCTTGCCCCGCGTCCTCTCCAAGCCTCCCCAAAGCCACAGCCCCGCCAGCCTTCTCACCGGCCGCCCCGCCGGTAAACGCTGTTCTCCAGCTCAAGCCTCACTGTTTGGAGTCTCCCTCGTGATTGACGGCTACTACTTCCTACCACGCCTCAGCGGAACTACCTTTCTAGCCAATCCCAGAAGCAAGCTGCCTACGGCCGGGCACCGCCCTTAGAGGTCAGCTTCACCAACCAGCAAGTAGAGAAAAAGCGGACCCGCCTCCTGAAATTATCCAATCCGCTGGAGCTCGAGGAAAAACAAAACAGTACGTAAATTCGGATAAAACCAAGGTGTCAGGTTCGGTTGCGAACGCCGGCACGTGGGGAGGAATTACAGACATGTCTATTTTCCATTGCAGAGAGCACCTTCGTGGCTTTGTCAAAAAGCACCATGTCCCATACTCATGTACACCTCACCTGAGCGTCTCAGAGGCTGGGAATCCGAGGACCCGGGACTGGTCTGTTTACATGGAATTCTCGCGACAGCTGGTTAGAAGCTCAAAGCACGTGGACATGGCAGCTGCCAATCACTTTTAGCGGGCCACTCATCCATTCTGCACCCGCCTTCTGCCCCGCCCTTGTAGATGTGTTTACCTTCCGGGAGCCTAGGCTGGCTGAGGGTGGTGGGCAGCCCTGGAGCCTGGGAGGTGTTCTGTATCAGGGGCGCGGCAAGTAATCGTGTCAATTTAATCTAGGGTTTTGGACCACGCCTGACTCCTTCCTTCCCCTGCTTCTGCCTCCCCGTAAGGAAGAGACAAAAATCTCACAGGTGTTTTTCGTCATTTTTCTACATAATAATGATAACACTTGTCGATTGAGTGAACAAACGCTCAGTAAGTACAAAGGCTCTAAGAAAGGAATGAATTTTGAAGAAGAACGAGAAAAATACTGTGGTTCAAGCAGAGTGAACTAAGTATAGAAAACTAGTCAGGAGAGTAAGCAGTGACCAGATGGACTATGGTCTTGTAGAGAATTATAACCAGTTTCAATTTTATTCTAGGGTAAGAATATATGAGAGGACTTACCGGGAAGGGAAACCGGCCTTGAAGGGGTCTGCCTAGGGCCATCTGGTAGTGTGTGGGTTCTTGACTTTGTGCGGGAAATTTTCCACAACAGTCTAGGTGAATTTTAGAGGACGTTTATTAAAGCTAAGAACAGTGAAACAAGAAAGGGCTGAGGAAAGGAGCCTAGGATGGTCTGTTTCGGCTCACTAAGAGGTCAGAGAAAAGGGGGCCTTGTGGACAGATTCAGGGGGTTTGGCTGGTATGCACTGTGGCAGCCCATTGCTGCCCTGGTTGCAAACCTCCTGGGCTCCCTTAGAGTTTAGAATATGCATGCCTGTGGGGGAAGTTGGAGGCAGGCACAGGTGTGCTCCTGGGAAGAGCAGAAGCTCGATGGTGGTTTTGAGGGGGTTTAAAGGTTGGGCATTTAGGGGAGGTCTTAGGGGAGGATCTCAGTGGAATATTCATCCGCTTTATGCTGATGTACCAAAATGAGATTGATTCTGTTAACTTCATCTGTCCTTGGGTGTGGTTGGCAAGTGCCCTAACTGGATTTGTGTTATTTGTCTCCCTGAGTAGGGTGATTTAAGTTATTTACCCTCTGGTTAGGGAGAAATGCAAACCATTTACTCTTTTTATATTATTATTGATTTTTTAGTGAGAGAGGTAGAAACATTGATGAGAGAGAAGCATCAACAATCAGCTATCTCCTGCATGCCCCCCTACTGGGGATCAAGCCAAACCTGGTCATGTGGCCTGATGGGGAATTGAACCAGCGACCTCTTGGTGCATAGGTCAAAGCTCAGTCATTGAGCCACACCAGCCAGGCCTATTTACTCTTTTTTTTTTTTTTTTAATCCTTACTCGAGGATATTTTCCATTGATTTTTAGGTAGAGTGGGAGAGGGGGAGGGGGAGGGGGAGAGAGAAAGAGAGACATCCATGTGAGAAAGACAGGTTGCCTCCAGCACAACCCTGACCCAGCTGGGGATGGAACCTGCAACCAAGGTATGTGCCTTTGACTGGGAATCGAACCCGAGAATCTTCGGGTCAAGGCTCTAACCGCTGATCAAAACCGGCCAGGGCCAAACCATTTACTCTTAAGTGTCCCTGGTTTAGGGAAGATAGGATTTACTGGGTGGCTACAAACTACTGTTTAACTATCTGTCTGTTTCCTTACTCTGCTTGTCCTGGCTTACTGGCCTGTCTCAATGGGACCTGGAGAAACTTCAACAACCTGTTCCTGTGACTGAGCAATCCCAGCTAGCAACCTCATTTTCAGTGTAAGAGAGTGAATTCAAGCAGGAAGTCTGTTAGTATTGCTATAATACCCGCCCTGGCCGGTTTGGCTCAGCGGTTAGTGTGTTGGCCTGCGGTCCAAAGAGAATTGCTACAATATCCATTACATTAAGTCACTAATGACTAAAATTGCCTTTCCTAAAGTCCCCAGGGAATTGTCAGGGAACTATGCATAAGCAAACCAAATTTTAAGGTCACTTTATGTTTTATTTTGTGTTTGTTTAGATATTTGATTCATTTTTTAGACTCAAGCAAACCACTGCCTCACTTACCCTGGCTACCAAAAATATTTGAATAATAATCACATGATTTAAACAGTGGTGAAATAATCTAATTTCATGGAGAACTATGGTGAACATTTATATTTTAACTTTCAGTCAAGTAAAAGGAAAAACAAAGGTTTAGAAAAAGGTGGCCATATAATTTATCATGCTACCAAGGAAACCTTGAACTGAGGCTCGATTAATAAACCTTAAAAAAAAAGAGAGGGCCCTGGCCAGTTCGGCTCAGCGGTTAGAGCTTCGGCCCGTGGACCAGAGAGTCTCCGGTTCCTGCTAAGGGCATGTACCTCGGTTGTAGTTTGTCCCCGACCCCAGTTGGGGTCGTGTGGGTGGCAACCAGTCGATGTGTCTCGCATCCACGTTTTCTCTCTCTTTCTCCCTCTCTCCCTCCCACTCTACCTGAAGATAAATTGCAAAAATGTCTTCGGGTGAGGATTAAAAAAAAAAAAAGGTAAAGGGTAAAGTAGGACTGTCCCAGGCAAATTATGAAGTGTGCTTGTCCTTTATATCTCACTCATTAATACTACTTAGTAGCTGTTCTCTAGTTGGTTGATGTATAATTCTATTGTCTATTTAGCCAAAATGTACACTCTTCAACAGAAGGAATTGTTTCATTTCTATTCTCCATAGTGTTCTATTCACTAACAGGAAAAATCACGTCAGAACCCCAACAATTTATCCCGAAATCTGGAGCTGGTGTTTATGATTAAATATACCAGAAAGTAAAATTATTGACAAAGACCAAAAATTAGTTTTGAATCTTTTAATGATGCCCAGCACATAATTTACCTTCCCCATATATTTCCTTCCCCTTTTATCTCTGGATAAAAATTGCTTTAAAACCTGAAAAAAAATTGTGACACAGGAGAGTTGGCTTTACAGTTGTGAATACATGTAACGCAGTTTATTCCTGTGAAAGAGGTGGGAGACAATAGAATAATAGAGAACCAATTATAGTGGGGCAATAGCCATAGTTATAAGAATGTCAATCATCCTTGCTCTGTTAATGGTCATTGCTTTGTTCTGATTAAAGAAACCCCATTCAGACCTGGCTGGGAGTTGTTCGCCCTGGGAGTTTTTCTCAGGAATGCTGTCCATTCTCCTTATCTGAGATCAAGGGAAAACTGCTCTACATCATGGAAAGACTAACAACCTTGGAGCCCTGGAGGCGGTGCACTGGAGACAACTCTTCCTAGTCCCCAGTCCACATTCCCCAGCCCTCATTGCTTCCCCATGCCTGTAATCTGTAACCTTTTTACAAATTACTCCTTTTGCCTACTTCTCCATGTAATCTTTGTCCTTCTACCAACGAGCAATCGGCTTATGTGGGAGAGGCCGGAGCAGATTTTTCAGGGATGACCTGCTATTCTCCCATACTGCCAGCAATATTAGAAGAAACACTCATATACTATTCAGCCTTATCTCTGCTTAATTAGCTCAAGTGGTGACAGGCAGCCCAGACCCATACATTGTCTGGTGTCATTTTCTGACTACTCTAGTGGGACCACAAGCAAGACTCCTCTGCGGTGAGTAACGGGGATCCTGCTTGCTGCCTGGACTGGGTGTTCCTGAAACTGAGGCCTGGACTCTCTCATTCCCAGCACTGCCAGGAATTTTTCTGTTTTGAGTCCCGACCGCAGCCTCAGCAATCCCTGTCGTCTCACCCCATTTGAATTGAGTGTTCTGTAACTCGAACAAGAGCCATCCCTTGTCTGTTGTCCGTTGCCTCCCATCTGATGTGAACTTGATCATCTCCTGGTTGCAAGCGACCTCTCACAATCCTTGCCTGGTCTCTGTACCCGAGCCTGATCAACTTAGGGTTGAGACGTGGCCCTGCAGGGCATATGGCACTCTGTGTGGTACTCTGTCTGGCTGTCCATGGTAAGCCACACGCAGTTGTCTATCTGTTGTGCGCACTTGTAAATATTGTAGGGTGGATTTTGGTTTTTGTCTTGTGTAACTTTGCCTGTAATTTTACTTAATTTATTTGAAGATGGGGTCATATCCTGCTTAGCTGGCAAGTGGGGCACAGCAAGCCACCCAGGGAACTGGGGCTCAGAAAGCCAGCCAGACAAGTGGGGTACACTGAGCAACCCCGACAAGGGGGGGAAGAGGCATCCAGGCAAGTGGTGCACAGCGAGCGATCCAATCAAGTGGGGCACAGCGAGCCACCCAGGCAAGTGGGGCACAGCGAGCCACCCAGGCAGGTGGGGCACAGAGAGCCACCCAGGCAGGTGGGGCACAGAGAGCCACCCAGGCAGGTGGGGCACAGCGAGCCACCCAGGCAGGTGGGGCACAGGGAACAACATAGGCCAGAGGCATGTGAGGCAGAGCTGAGCTTATCTGCTTTGTTGAAAATTCAACATATTCACACTGGGTTCTGGAGTTTTGACTATCTCTGTTTAAAAATTTGCTGTGACTTCAGTCAAGGTTCGCCGCTGAGCCTGAACAGACAGTGGAGGTGGAAGTGTCACCCAAGGGTGCTT